ATCAGATAGATTTTTTTTATTACTTTGTTGTTTCAGCAACATTACATTTAAAAACTGTACTTTTGAGTTAAAATATATATTTATAATTTTAATTATACATTTTTTAAACATTTTTTTTGTATCGGAAAAATATCGAACCGAACCGAACCATGAATTTTGTGTATCGTTGCACCCCTAATATATGTATAAAACAAATAAACAAAAAAGCAAGCAGAACAACATGTTCCATATGTTAGATGGAACACATGATAATTTCATCATGAAATCATCTTGGTAGTCATGAGAAATTACTATTATTCAGGTTCTGTTATGCTGCTGTCTGTGTGTTTAGTGCTCTATAGTGACTCACCTCCAAGTAGGAGTGCTCTCTGTTGGGTCTCTTTGTGGGGAATGATAGATCCAGAAAGTCCACCAGATAGTCATAACCATCAGTGATGCATTCAAACTTGTCATCTGTTTCAATGACCTACACAGAGACATGTGCATTTCAGCAGATTTGCATCCACTCTGAGTAAGATAGCAATGTAATGGAAAAAGGAGTGAGCCAAGGTGATTCGTAACAGCTGGAAGGAAGGGAATTGACGATGAGGAATCAGAGCAGAGAGCTGGGTTTTTATTTTGCTTTTTTGTCTTTCATTTTAAAATGTCATCATTGCAGGATGTGAACTACATCTCTATTTCTAGTTTCTGTTAAGGTACTGCAGAGGCTGCTGAGGCATGATGGAAATTTAAAAAAAAAACATATAAAGATAAAGACAAGGAACATTTCTGCTCAGGTATAACAAAAAAAAAAAGTACACCAATGTTCATGTATGTTCATCAAACAAGAAATGTCAGACTGAAAATATTGGATTTCCTTTTAATTTTGTTAAACTTTATAGATCACTCCATAGGACTTTATGGCTTACAAGGTTAACTGAAACTAAAATAATACCAAAATCACTATTATGTGCATTAAAAAATGTCAGTCACTGTGAATAACAACTTTGCTAACAGCTTAGCTCATTGGATTAGCCAAATGAAGCTTATTCATAAATTCAATAAGGAAGATCTGTAGTCCCACAGATTCTTCAGGCCAATCAGCCTCTGCTCTGCCGACTTTAAATCTCATCTGTCGTTTTCCCTTCCAGACACCATCGTGCAACTCACAGAGTCTAAATTCAGAGGGCGGTCCTGCCCTTTCCCTATCACTGCTGGGATTCTGTTCTGCTGCGATTGGCCATCACAGTCTAATCCCAAATACCTTAATTGAATTCTGTAAGTGAATAAATCATGTTTAGTTCCTTCCAATGATTTCTCCTTATTGAATTTCCTCCCATCCATCTATTTTTTAGCACTTATCTAACTCATGTTCACAGAGGAAGGAGTCTAAGTTTTCACAGGGTGGGAGGCGGGGTACACCCTTAGCAGGTTGCTAGTCCATTACAGGGTCACAATATACAATAGTTTTGGGGGTTTTTCCCCCTTTTTTTGGGAGGGGGGGTTATGCATTCCCCCCCAACCTTGCAAAAATGGGCAAGTGTATATATTTTTACTTTTCTGGGGGCCTCTTTATTATTTATTTATTATGAAGCAGTAAGCAGAGAAATGCTTTTAAGTAGGAAAGATCATGATAATAAAGTAAATGCCAAAGAAAAGTAAAACATTTCTGTCAAAACCATTTACCCGCACAACCAGGTTGTAGTTTTGAAAGCCAGCCCATGTGTAATAAAACTGGATCCAGTTTTGATGTTTAAATATGTCAGACTTGATGGCGCTCTTCAACTCATTCACATGCAAGTCGAATTCCCAGCTGTCCTTGTAGATTTTTGCACTAGCTGGGGGATTGGTGATGGCCTCCCTATGGTTGGTATTAGCAAAGAATGTTGCAAAGAAAATATTTCATTTAACACTTGCATGTGCAGTTTACATGATGTGTTACAGGGGTCTCAAACTCACAGCCCAGGGACCACTTGCAGCCATATGAAGGCAATATGAGCAGAGAGTACAAACATACTGAGTGACTGGCTGTGTTAGTTCAGTGAGAGTCAAAAACTAATGTGTACACTTATGTCTGCATTTTTATTTTGTTAAATAAGAACAAAATGATAACCGAAGTGCAGCCACAAAGAGAGTACCAGTGTGTTTATTTGGTAGTTCAATCAAAGGCTTCAGTTAGTTAAGAGGGAGGAAAAAAAATCTGCATTCACATTTGCAGTTTTGTCTTATTATACAATACCTAAAAAAAACAAAAACCCCAAACAAACCAAACAAAACGCTACATTTTCACAATTATTAGTCGTTATTTCTTGTTTGTTTGTTTGTTTGTTTGTTAGTTTTGTAGTACCATTTTACTTGAACACTAAACTGGCCTCCAATGACATGACAATGCCAGCAGTGGCCCACACCTCATTTAAGTTTGAGACCCCTGTTGTATATTTGGAAAGTTACTAATCCTGCCTGTGCTCTTTATAATGATAATAACTTTTTAAACAAAATAATGCCATCATGTTATCACACAACATAGGCAAATGCAGTCAGATTTGGATTTTCTCCTCTACATGAAATAATTGAGTAGCAGTAGCTTGTCAGTAAGAATCAAAGTCATATACATTTACTGGGCACTTACATCAAAACGGGAAAAAGACAGGGCTGAAGCTACAGCTCAAAGAAAAATCAATAAAAGTGGCACATTTTACTTTTACATTTGCAGTGCAGACAATGAATATTTGGACAGTGAGATTTTTTTCCTCATCAGACTCTCAGAAACAAAATGATCTGTTTCTACACTGGCATTGTAGAGACTGACATTACTGTTTAAATTTCTGTGTTTTATGTAGTTGTATTACAGAGATGGAATAACAGTCTCTTTCTTTCCCACATCAACCAGGAATGGAAAACACAGATAAACATGTGAGCTATTCCAACCTGTTGGTGGGGTCTCTCAGAGCGAGGCCGAGGTCCAGCACAGCACCTGGCTGCGGTGTCCAAGTTTTGATTGCTGGTGCAAGCTTATTAATGAGTGCATTGAGGTCCTCTGCACTGTTTTTGATATTCTTATCCTTTATGTATCTTCCAACCAACACACAGTACAAACAGACACATAAGTAAAGGGACACATAAAACACAAATTAGGTCTCATGTGTTTAACTTGACAGTCATTAGCAGTAGTGTCACTGTCAAAACATAAGGCCACAACTGTGTTGTACAACCATGTTTCCAGAAAACATGAATGCTGTGTATGATGTGGATAATGTTAATCACATCCTTATTTAATAACATAACAAATGTATTGAATCAAACAGAAAAAAAGTCTTCAGTTTTAAGGTCTTATGCTAACAACACATTTCACAAACATCGAAGCAGCAGCAACACAAGACTGGGAGAATTGTGTAATGTTAAAAAAAAAACTGGTAGAAAATCTTAAAATCAATGATAAATGAATCTAACCTGCTGACAGTTATAAACACAGTTTAGTATAAAAGGAGCAGCTCATCAAAGTGGAGTCATGGTTGTAGATTGACTTGCCAACATAAACTGCATATCAGCTCATAGTGTCACAGGCTGGGTCTCTGAGTTCATTTTGTATTTGTCTCATTTTAGATTTGTGATTAGTTTGTGTCATTCCTATTTAGCTTTAATTAAGGAAAGGCAGTTATTATTTATTGTTTGCTTGGTTTCTATGTTTGAGTTCTTGTATCATTCATCACGTGTTAGGTCTGTTAAGCTTGTTGTCATGTCTAGTTTCAGTGTTTCCTGTTTTATTTTGAAGGAGTCGTGTGTTCTTTGTTCATTATATTTAGTTTCACTTCCCCTGTCTTCTCATTAGGCTCATGTCAGTCAGCTGTTCCTCCATGTGTTCCCACTTCCCCTAATCACCTCCTGTGTATTTAAGTCTTCTGTTTTCAGTGTGTCATTGTCAGATCGTCTGCTTTTTTTTCAAGCTAAGAAGTTATGTTAAGTTTCCTCATGTCAAGTCCATGTTCCTGTTGTAGGTTTTTACTTAATTTAGCTCACCCAGTTTAGTTTATTGTTAGCTTTGCCCTTTTTTTACAGTTATTTTGCGAGCCTCAATAAACGGCTCATTTTCTGTTATTCAAGTCATGTTTCACATTTTGTTTTCGTCTGCATTTGGGTCCACCCTTCACTCTACACACAGTCAGCCCTGCTGATTGTGACACATAGACAGCTGAAACAGAGCTACAATTAAACAGGGAATAGATAGAAAAAGGAGCCCATATATAGACCAAACCCTGTTTTGTTTGTTATTGTACATAGTTGTGTTTTAAATATTAACTTGCCCAGATGAACTACATATCAGCTTTGACCTTGGAATTTAGATCAGATCAGCTAACTTTGTTGTGAGGATTCTTCTGCTAGGGAACATAAAAGTAATTCAAAACCAAAAAGCTCTGCACTTTATTAATTCATCTCTGATGCTGTGCAAACCCTTATTACAAACTCTACCTGTCTGATGGATGAGCCTCCACAAAGTATCCAGCGAATGGGCAGTAGATCCTCGGCTGCAGGGATTTCACCAGTGTAGCTTTGTAATTCAGTAGCTTCTTCCTCTCATTCTTGATAAACTCTGCCTTCCAGGAATCTGGAAACACATCAACAACATTTGCTTCATCTCAGCAGTTTGGTGCACTTTGACACTGTTGATCACAACATATCAGTTTGACAAGTCAGTTCTTACATCGCTAAAAGAGCTACATGTAACCGTCAAAGATTCTAGCATAGATGCTGTTGTGTGTAGGTGGAGGTAAAACCTAACTAAGCAAACCTAACTCGGGCTCACCACTGTATTTCCCTCCATAGAAGGTCATCGGGAATCCAGAAGCTCCTCCAGCAAAGTCAGTCATCATCACGTCCACATTTTGTGGTAGCCTGCCTCCATTCGGTCTGGTGCAGTCCACAGTGTTGAGGATCATATGACCTGCAATAAAAACAACATTTTATATTATTATCAGACTTATTTTTAAAGCACAAGTAATTATATTATTCAAAATGACACCTTTGTAGTCAACAATGATGCATGTGTCCATTTCAGGATGTACACCATCCATCAGGATCATAAATCTCAGGTGATCATCAATCTGAGTGAGACAGCAAGATTCATTTTTACTTCTTTATGGAAATCATATGATTTTAATATACAAAATGGGTTTTTTTTGTAATTCCTCTTAAACAAATGATAGAGGCAGTGACTTACATTTTGCCAAACACCAAAGGGAAGGACTTTAATATTGGTCAGCTTAACTTGGCTTTCCTTTATATACCTGTCACAGCGAATATACCCGTATGTGAATAACAGACCAACATTGGATAATTTATTTCCTCTGTAATTTATGGGGACAATTCAGCTCCACTTCATTACTAACCAAAACACTGGTCTGGATGTGTCACCGACATATATCGGGACGTCCGGCCTTCTTTCTGCCAACACTTTCAGTGTGGGATAACTATAAAGAAAACAGAAAAAGTCAGTGCCCTGCACTGTAAATATAAACACCCTTCATTTCTGAAAATTGGTCTCTTTGTAGATTTTGTATTTGAGGTTCTAGCCAGTAGGAATAAAAATATGTAACGTTCCAAAAATGTTTTTATTTCTCTCAGGAGCTCTAAAGAGCTGTTCAAAGCAGAGAAAAGAAGGGAGAGATAAGCAAAGTGGAAAAAATGGAAACAGATTTTTGATTCTGAATTATATTCAATAACAGTTCTAATTATATTATGTAGTTTTCATTGCAAAATTACTAATAACTATTTTTTTATTTGTCTTTTCTAATAGTATTAATTAAGTTATTTTTATTTGAAATTACTGTATGTACAAGTACTTAAATTTGGCTACATTAGATTAACATAATACCAAGTCAGATATGTACATGAAACAAAAAAATAATTATTCTTTAAGTAAATTGAAATATTGTGTAAAACATTTAAAGTTTAAGTAAGTAATTTTAGTAGTGGTAATTTTGGTAATTTTACACTGATCATTTTGTTTCTGAGAGTAAGTACACTGTACTGACTGGGACAGATTGCAGAGTGCTCTACATTACTTTTGTAATAATTTGTAATTAATTATAATTATTTTTTAATTAAAGGATGTAAAAGTCTTTTTGCATGCTTTAATTTAAGGATAGTATACCTTCTCTTTACTGTGACTGTATGCAGCTGGTGCTGTTTTCCTCTTTTTGATTTTGCTTGCAGCTGGTCATGGATCAAGTATTGTAATGTAGATTACAATATTGCGCCATAAGAAATCAATAAAATTCCATGTAATCAAGATGAATAGAACAGCTGAAGCAAAAACTACCATACTATACTATACTGTACTATACTGTGTTTGCTCTGAATCATTTACTTCAAACAAAAATGGCAGTAATATGTAATGCATATTTTTATGCATTTAACAATATTAGCAGAGCTTGCCTGAGGTGGTCTGAGTGCATATGGCTGATGTAGATGAGATCTGCACCACAAAGCCTGTCCAGGGCGTCTGCTGGAGGCTCATGGAGAAGCCACCAGCCCCTGGCAAACGCAGGACCCTTCAACCAGGGGTCGAACATGAACCTTCTCTTGCCAAGCTGTAGCTCCATGCAGGCATGGGTGAAGTATGTCACCTGAGGGGAAAGTAAAAGAATATTTATGTTTTGGAGACTGTACTTGATGTACTTTTCACTCTTA